AGCGATGGAGGTGACTCGACGGCGACAAAAATCCCACGAGGTTTCGGTGCATTCGCTCCGACTTCTGCTGAGATTATGTGGACCGCAGAGGACTATTGTCTCACCAGCCAGCGGGCAACGACGCACGGGCGTAAAAACGTGTATAGCGGATACGAATCGGACGCAATCGAATGATACTGCGCAAACGTGTGACGAAACGAAACGTAGCGTTTATAAACGAACTTGATTAAGCTCCCGTTAACTGGGACTTGGAAGACGGAGCCGCAACACGTGCCCGACACAAAGAGAGGCTCGGTGGCGTAAACACGAGTGGTGTCTACGTGAAACTCGGCGATAATATGAGATGCGGTCGTTCGCGCTGAAACCTATATCGACAAACGACCCGACAACAACAATGGACAACAATTAGGCATGAAATAAATGGCTCATTTAAACATAAACTAATTAAATAAATATGTACTCCATAATACTTGCTTTAAATAACAGTAAATCATCAACACCTTCTGGACCTTGTTCCCACAAAATCACACCAACGTTTATACGGTCACTAAATACCATATTAGAATATAATATTCCTTCGGATTTCGTATGATTAATTGCATCCAAAAATACATGCATGGGTGAATTGGATCTAATATCAAAGTGCCTAAGACAAAATTAAAATGCATTTAGATAAGTACAAAAATTAATATGAAAGCCAATTTAAATTAATATGAAAATATTAATACCGTTAATCCCTTTAATGTAAATTATTTGTCAAAGATATGATTCTTAAGGATAGCATACTCATTATGTATTTTTTACTTCGCTCACTTACAGTAGTCTACATATTCTTGTAAAAACGCCAGAAGGTAAAATATAAAAATTGTATTATTATCTTTAGTAAACACCTACTATATTTATTGTTTTAAGAATACCGATAACTTTTCACAATCCCGATTATAGGAAATTGGTCGATTCAGGATTAATGAGATGAATTAAACAACATTTCGTATATGATATTCTCAGACAGAATTTCTGCATCTTTTAATGTATGTTCTCATGTATACTCCGTAAAAAATTGTGGCATTTTTACTGACCGCAAGTATGAAGACAATAATATAAATTTTTTATAAAGCAATATTATCTAAATATCATCGACATGTAAATATTATCGTACAGAATAAAATACAATAATCTGCATTATAGTAATATTATTTTAAATAAAATATTTACTTTTTGATGCAAGTCCTAGAAGTTAATATCCAGTTTGATTTGATTAATACACCTTGGCACCATTTGTCTTGTTCATCAATTGACACCGCTATTACCACCTGTCAAAAAATGTATGTGTAACTCATTCACATTATTATTATTCTCATACTGATGAGGAAATGAACTTACGTGGTAAGGAAAAGAGTGTGTATCAGATGCAAGTTTTACAAATTCTTCTTCGGTAGTTATTGAGATTACACTCTCCCCCAATGATGATATTGGTATTGTAGTATAGCTAAGAACACATAATGATAACATTAACAATATTGCTATTAGTCATTATACTTTCATTAACAGTCTATATTAATTTAAAGTTATAAGACATTTAGTTCTTAATCCACTTATATTCAGATAATAAAAAAAATATTATTTGGAGTTCATCAGTGGTTAGAGTCCTAATTTTTTAAAAAAATGAGTTACCTTCCATTATAACTGTAGGGCGTTATGAAAATCGCTTATTTAAGAGTTATAGAGCACGATTTTTTTTAACTGAAATAGGGCATTTAAAACTAAATATATAAATGACATTTCCCGTTTACGAATAAATAACATTAATTTAATTATATTTCACTTTTACGATTAGGTAAAAGATTCCTATAAATAAATTGGCAAGGTAGGATACAGAAGGTTTTTTTTATTTTTTTGAAGTAAAAAATAGCTGTCCCAAGATATTAGTAAAAGTATTGATATTAGTAAAACAAATCCATCAATTGCTATGCTCAGAATTTAAAATGAAATAAACGGCATTGTAAAATGAATATCTCTGTCGCTATGAACAGAATTTAACATTTCATTTATATTTCATGCACAATGCATGAAATATATTGAATAAAAAATGTATGCATAATATTAAGTTACATATTCTATAAACCTACTGTTCATCGTCCGTTATAGCCTCTTCAATTTCAGGCACATCCCATCTTCTTTCACGATCGGCCAAAAATCTATAACTTTTGGTCCCAAACAATATACTGTTAAACTTAACATTGAATGTATAGGATGTCACATCTTGCTTGAATGAACAACTTACTAATTGTTAAAAAATATGAATAGTTATGTTAAATAGCTTCATATATAGATAGTGAAAATCCAAAATTTACTAGTAGGAAAATGATTTTACAATAAATTGTACTGAAACACTTTATGTATAAAGGAAAAGTAAAAAAAAATTTCAAGTACTGATTTTCGAATTTAACAAACCAATAATATTACCGTTTAAATTATCGAATAAGTTGCAATAAAGGTTTCAAAGTAAAACAAAGTGTCTTCTCGGATACTAAGAAATGGTAAGTTAAATTGAAAGAGAACCAAATCGTAAGAAAAATTAACCTGAGCAAAGTTCGGTAATACGTGTTTTCAAATACATCCTTTTTACGTTTTTCGCAATCATTTTATTTTAAAACGCTTAAAAACATACAAACATAATATTATTTATTCAAAATAACTAGCACATTACAAAAAAACAAAAAAAAAAAATCGAAAAATGTCAAATACCTATGTATAACTCAAAAATCATTATAATGTTCAAAAGTTTTAACCGTGAATAGAAAAGTTCGATATCTGTATTCTGTTAAAACTGATTAGGTTTATGATTTCTGTAAAGTTTCCTGTGTTTCTTCATTTTTTTCGGTTTTAGCCAAATAATTATAAAAATTACACTGAAAATCAAACACTATCTTGTGTACATTATACACTTGTTTTTTGTTACAAGATTTCCTGTAGAATTGTTATTCATAGACAAAAACAAATCATAGTAATACCAATTTAAATTCCTCGATTTTCTTAGAATTTGAAATAAAATGACCACATAAGGCTTAACAATTAGGTTCTGACTATTGCAAGGAATTTTTTAGTTTTGTTTGATGTCCGTTCGATAGTTTGCCTATCAATTATTTTTCGAAATTTGACCGAAAGTTGGACGTTATATTGTGATTATAATCA